TCAGCCGCAGGTCTCCGCAGTGCCTTTCTCACCATTCCTGTAGACACCTTCGCCTGCACCTGGGGCGGCCACTACACCTGTCCTGCCCCTCAGGGACACACTGACAGCTCCACCTGCCTCTACCCAGTTCTTAGAGTTGACTTGCCTGGGGTCCTGTTCCCTCCTGGGTCCACCTTGCTGCAGGATGGGGGGACTTGGTCCTCTGCTCCCCTCCAGAGGATGTTTGTTTACAGGACACCCTCCACCTCCGTCACAGGTTGGCTTCCAAGGGACTCGAGGTCTCCAAACCAAAGCTCCAAGTCTATGAAATCTCTGTCAAGTTCATGGGTCCCCTCGTAACACCCTATGGGCGGACCCTAAAGGAATCCAAGGCATTTTACCTTTCCCATTCCCAAAATAAAGAGACAATTATATCAGTTCTAGGGGCTTACTGAGTACTGCCATGCCTGGCTCCCTAATTTTATTCTACGAGGTCAACCCCTTGATAACTTTCTTAAAGAAAGTAACTCAGACACAGTTCTATGGACCTCTGAATCTCAACACCCTTTGCAGGAAATCAAACACCAGCAGCCCTGACCCTTTCCCGGGCCACCGCAACTGTGACTCGCCCTTTTCTCATTCATGATGGAGAAGGCACTGGCCTGGGTCCTTACTCAGGGCCGTGGAGGCGACGCTGCCCCGTGGGTGCCGCAGTCAACACCTTGACCAGCAGCCCGGGTCAACCCGCTGTCCACGTGCAGACGCCGCCGTCTCCACCCCAGGAGGGTCGACTGAAAAGGTGGTGACGGGCTCTCCACCCACAGTGCGTCCCCGACTGTGGGAGCCCTTCTCAACCCCACCACTCTCCACCTTCCTGCCGGCTGCCTCGCCGGCTGGGAAACCCTTTCCCTTCCCCTCCTTGCTGCGCTGCGCCCGCCCAGCTACCCGCTCCCTCCCCCGGTGAGGAGATCGGACTGTGGTTCTCACGGCCCGAGGCCCAGGGCACCCCACGAAACCCCCTTCCTGAGCGGAGTCCGATGGTTCTGATGGGCCGACCCCAGAGCCCACAGTGCCTGCACACTGGCCTCGAGTTTCTTCCCTCCAGGACGGGGCGCAGTCCGGTCCTGTGCCCGGCGCCACGTCCGCCCGGCAGGCTGGACTCCACGCTCGGCCCCCGCCTCGGGCCCAGCGGGAGCAGCCCGCGTTTACACCGCACTACCCGCGTTTACACCGCACTCCTCCGCCTCAGAGCGGCCCCCACATCGGGCTGCTCCGGAACGGCGGGGCTTTCTGACGTGTGCCGGGCAGTGTAGACCCAGGACTGTGCGGGAGCCTCACTGGAGACACTCGGGGCCCTGAGGACCCGGCTGCTGTTCGGGTACCGGCCACACTCCACCGGGACAGTCCTGGGCTCTGCGCGTGCGGACCGAGACGCTCGGGCAGCCCCTCCCAGCCGAGCCCACCACCCCTCACCGTCGTCTCCTTCCCCTCGCTCCGGCCCGACCCCGACCGACCCACCGCCCGGGTCAGCCTCCACCTGTCTGACGACCAAGCTCTGTCACCGGAAGTAGAAAGGAGGACATGGATTGAACATGCAGCACTTTTGATCAGGACACGTGGCTATGGTTCAAGCCCAACCCATGCCCTGTCCTACCCCAAAATTGCCAACGGCCCAAATGGTCCCTCATTCATGACCTCACGCATTGAAGTCCTGATAAAATGACCCAGTGGGCACACAAGTACTTCTGGGTTCCGTCACCCACAGTCTCCAACAACTTTTTCAAACTTTCAAAATACGAGCACAGAGTGGCCCAGAACTGTGAGGCCTCCCAGGCCACTTCCCACGGCCACAGGACCCTTCCCTGCAGGACAACTTGACTTTATCCAACTTCCCTTTCTCAAAGATCATAATACATTTTACTAGTCACAGTGGTATCAACAAACCTGATGTTTCCAGAAGTTTCCAGAAGAAAGTCTGGGGCAGAGTTGGGGAGCTGTCTGCTGAGAACCCCACGGGGAGGAGACAGGGTCGGGGCAGGAGGAGGTCTGCGTGTCTGAGAGGACTCGGCCCCACCGCTGTGTGCTGCCCTCCCGCCCCTGCTGACGCCCTGACTGTCCCTCCCTCCGTCCTCTCCCTGTGACCTGAGGCTCATCCCCCAGGGCAGGTTTGAGTCACATCTGTTTGCACCTGGTGCTCCTCTCCACTGTCATGTGACACTTTTTATTTAACTAGGACATGCCCTGGTGTGTGCGACTGATTTTCTATCTCTTCCGCTCAAACATGGAACTGGGTTTAAGTAGCTAGATAAATGGACAAAAATCAGATTGCTTCCTGGATAAGATCAGTCCAAAATGAGCTCTTATACCCGTCACTCTTCATCAAATTCTATCTGTGCAATTTCTCTACGGATGTCATTTCTAGGAATCAACACACATGTGTTTGAGGTAAAAGTCTGGCGGTGTGCAGATGAGCTGGCTCTCTGGGGGAACCATGGTTTGTTTGTTTGTTTGTTCCTTTGTTTGTTTTGAGACAGACTCCTTCTTGCTCTGTTGTCCAGGCTAGAGTGCCGTGGCGTCAGCCTAGCTCACAGCAACCTCAGACTTCTGGGCTCAAGCGATCCTCCTGCCTCAGCCTCCTGAGTAGCTGGGGCTGCTCAGGAGTTGGAGCCATGAGCCCCGACTAATTTTTTCTATTTTTAGTACAGTCAGGGTCAGAATCTTGCTCAGGCTGCTGTCCGACTGCTGTCCTCAAACCATCCTCCCACCTCTATATCCCAGAGTATTAACATTGCAGGCATCAACCACCACACCTGGCCAATAAAATGTTTCTTAAAAAGCATTTATTTCTGGTATTTGCTGATAACTGAGTGTATGTCCTCCCTTCGTGGCCAACTTGAAGATTCCAATGTGACTTTTCCTCTCTCTACCTGATTTTGGCATATGTGGGGGGTCATGGAAACAATCCCCAAGGAAACGGAGGATGATCGTATTTAGAGACAATTTTCCCCAGTTGTTTTAGTTTCTCTTTCTTTCTCGGTTTCCTTAGGTTGAAGCCCTGGATGAGATAGTCACGACTGGCTGCCAGTCCAGAGGACACGCCGCACCCCTCTGTCGGAATCCCCCTAATACACGCTGTAGACGGAACACCCGCCGTTCTGGGCCTCCTTCCTTGGGACCCCACCAGCCCCGTCTTGGCAGGGCGGGAGCAGCCCCTGAGGACCCGCCCTGCACTGCTCTCCGGTCCGCTCCAGCCTCAGGTGCGGCTGCACAAAGCAGCCTCCCACCTGCGTCCGCAGCCCTGACCCGCCCTGGCCCTGCAGACCCTGGGCTCCCTCCCTGTGTCCACACAGCAGTGGGATCCGCCACCCTGATGACCCCTCGATGGGACCTGCGGCCACAGGGCTTTGCCCTCTGTTTTTTGATGTGGATTTGACTCCATTTAGGGAATCTTCATATCTCTTTTTCTGCTCATGATTTTGAGGATCTGCATATTTCAGACACGCTGTACCTGCATTCCTCAGCGTTGGGAGGAGTTGGGGCATCGATCATCCACTTAGACTCTGCATCTCAACACCAGGATCCCCTCATGTCCCCACCCCTCGTCTCTTAGCCTGATCTGGAATTAACCAGGATCGGGCCCTCCCATCCCAGCACCACTGACCCCACATCCACTGTGAGGATGGGGTTCCTGACCACAGTTCCAAATGAGGAAACTGAGGCTCAGAGATGGGAATTTACTGGCCAGCTCATGCAGGCAGTGGGTGATCATCGAATTAAATAAAAATCAACTCCCCACCCAATGCCCCATATCCAAGCTCAACATCAGTAATTGTTCCCAAAACCCTGACCAGGGGTTGAGGTGCAGTGTGACGCCCGAGGGAACCAGGGCGGCTGAGGAGCGGTGGCTGAGAGCTTGGTTCCCAGGGAGGCAGAGGTGACGTGCTGCTAAAAATAGCAAAGGGGAGCGGAAGCCCAAGAGGGGAATGTTTGGTACCAATGAAACCCACAGTCCATGGCCAATAGAGGTGCATTTTTCTACCATATTGCCTTATATGTCCCTTTGTGCTCACGGCCACAAGGCAGCTCAAGAGAACTGCGCCGTCAGACTCGTGTGTCTCTGCTGGTCTGAGTCCGCCGTGGGCTCGAACCTGCAGCTTCCCTGGAGCGTCCCAGGGTGAGGAGACGACTGCCGTGGGGAGGACCGCAGCGCTGGGCTGAAGGACGGGCTGAGGGAGGGAAGGAGGCCCTGTGGGAGGCCCAGAGGGACGAGGGGCCCTCATCACCCTCACCTGGGAGGGGGCCAACGTCGAAGGCTCTGGATCTGTTTCCTTCTACGTTCTGAACTTTCAGTGAGATGAGGACAATGAGGCACGAGGTGGCTGGGGTCAAGGAGACCCCAGTTCTGTCTGAAATGTCTGCAGAGCCTGGTGCCTGCCCAGCCCACCCGGGTAAATGAGAACCAGGCTTGTGGGGAGGGCAGTCCCTTCCCGTGGGGTGCTGATGGGACAACCCCATCAGGGAAAGGACCAGCCCAAGTGCCACACCTTGTGTGTCTCTCTGTCCTACAGACACTGTGGTCTCATCCATCTGCATAGCCAGTTCAGTAGGAGAGACACCATGACCCCACCCTCACGGCCCTGCTCAGCCTTGTGAGATGGGAAGAGGGGAGGAACCTGGACTGGGGGGACCCCACCCACAGCCAGGCCAGCTCTAGCAGGAGACCCCAGGGGCTCAGGAGGTCCCGGGGAGGACAGGACGTGCTCAGCCTTCAGGGCAAATCTCTCACAGGAACTCTCTTCAGGGCTGAGTCTTGGGCACCAGGACCCGCGTGCAGGCAGGTGAGTCTGTCCCCAGCTGTCCCAGGTCCCTCGTCAAGGGAGACAAGGAACACACCTGGGCAGCTGGGGATGGTGAACAGCAGCCCTGGGCTGACTGACGGGGACATCTGGAGGGTCCTGGGCTGAGAGCTGGGATCTGAAGGGTGGGGACGTCTTGGGACTCAGCCTCTTATTTCCTTCCAGGGACCCTCCCCAAACCCACCCTCTGGGCTGAGCCAGCCTCTGTGATAACCTGGGAGCCCTTGCCATGTGGTGTCAGGGGACCCTGGACGCTAAGGAGTACCGTCTGGATAAAGAGGGAAGATCAGGACCCTGGGACACAGAGACACCAATGAAGCCTGATTACAAGACCAAGTTCAACATCCCACACATGACTGAGCACTATGCAGGGCGATATCGCTGTTACTATTACAGCCCTGCTGGGTGGTCAAAGCCCAGTGAACCCCTGGAGCTGGTGGTGACAGGTGAGAGGACACTCGGCGATCAGCCCAGGCTCTGCCCTCAGAAGGGGTCTGGTCTCAGGGTCTCCCTGTCACAGCCCACCCTGGGTGATGTGGGAGGTGTGAGCCCATTGACCACGGCTGCCTCCTTCTCCCCTAGGATTCTATGGCAAACCCACCCTGTCAGCCCTGCCAAGCCCTGTCGTGACCTCAGGAGGGAACGTGACCCTCCAGTGTGGCTCATGGTTGAGATTCGACGTGTTCATTCTGATTCAGGAAGGAGAACAAAAGCTCACCTGGACCCAGGACTCACAGCAAACCTCCTCTGTGTGGTCCCAGGCCCTGTTCCCTGTGAGCCCTGTGACCCCCAGCCACAGGTGGATGTTCAGATGCTATGGCTGTTATAGGAACTCCTCACAGGTGTGGTTAGTTCCCAGTGACCCCCTGGAGCTCCTGGTGTCAGGTGAGGAGGTTTCATCCTACCCTGTTGATTTTTTGAGATTCCAAAATTGTCACTGTGAGCCTTGCTTCCAGGGCAGCCTGAGGTGGGAGTGGTGCTGGGGAAACAAAGGTTCCCAGGGCCACAGGCCCAGAGTGTAGTGACAGTGGGACCTGCAGAGCCAGGGCAGGACACGAGAGGTGTTGGGAGGAACCAGCCCCTGCAGCCCACGGCCTGCCCTTCCCTCCAGGTGTGTCTAGGAAGCCCTCCCTGCTCAGCCCGCAGGGCCATGTCCTGGCCCCTGGACAGAACCTGACCCTCCAGTGTCGCTCTGATGTCAGCTACGACAGATTCACTCTGTACCAGGAGGGGAGACGTGTCCTCGCCCAGCACCCTGGCCGGCAGCCTCAGGCCGGGCTGTCTCAGGCCGACTTCCCCCTGGGCCCTGTGAGCGGCTCCCACGGGGGCCAGTACAGATGCTACGGTGGACACAGCCTCTCCTCTGAGTGGTCGGCCCCCAGCGACCCCCTGGTCATCCTGATCACAGGTGAGGAGCCCAGCGGGGTCGGTCAGGGACCCAGACTCTGCACAGGCCCTGCCAGGGGAGCCCCCAGGGGTGATGGCTGGAATGAGGGGTGGGTCTCAGGGACCAAGAAGGACAGAGAGAGACAGGGGCCAGGTGAGGGGAGACTCTATCACAGAGATAGATAGAGACACTGAGTGTCCTCAGAGAGAGGCCCTGGGGAGGTCTCAGCTCAGAACGAGATGAGGACTGCCCCCACTCCCCTTCCTCTCTCTAGGACAGCTCAATGACACACCCTCCCTCTCAGTGTAGCCAGGCCCCATGGTGGCCTCAGGAGAGAATGTGACCCTTCTGTGTCAGTCATGGAGGAACATGGACACTTCCATCTGACCAGGGAGGGGGCAGCCAATCCCCCCCGCATCTCAGATCTAAGTCCAGAGTCCATTCTCCATGAGTCTTGTGACCTCAGCCCACAGGGCACCTACAGATGCTATGGCTCACTCAGCACCTCCCCCTACCTGTTGTCACTGCCCAGTGACTCCCTGGAGCTGGAGGTCTCAGGTGAGGACCCCAACCCTGTCCTGTCTGAGCTCAAAGGGTCAGCTCAGGCCCTTCCCCAGGAGAGCTCTGGGACAACAAGGAATGCGGGGTGAACGGGGTCACTTCTGGAGGGGATCCTGCCAGGAGAGGTGGAAATAGACAAGACCTCCCACCCCTGGGCACCCCACTGAAGTCTCGGTCAGAGTGCAGGGCAGGGAGGGTGGAATGAGATGTGGGTGAACCTCAGAGGAAACGTGATGAGACTGAGGGTGGAGGACAGAGTCCCACCCACCCACCTCCTGAAGTCTCCTCTTCAGAATCAGAACCTCTGAGTGTCCCAGCCCGTTGCCCCCAGGCCCTGACCCAGTGGGTGATGGAAAGTTACCCTCATCCCAGAGAATCTCCTAGACTTGTCTCAATCCTATTCCCAATATTGAGGTGAGGGGTCTGCTCCCCAGAGGAGCAGGGAGCAGGGTGGACATTAAGGTGGGTCCATGTGGCTTCTGGGGCTCTGGGGATGGGGCAGCTGGGACCTCTGTGCTGGGCAGAGGGGAGGGAGGTGTCCCAGGTCCAGGCAGGAAGGAGGGACCAGAGCTGATGGGTGGAGGAGTCGGGTCTGCCCTCCTCCCTGAGCAGGACACCCAGGAGCCATCTCGACTCACCATGAGCCTAGACCAGGGGAGGGAACAAGGCAGGGGCTTAGTCTAAGAGTTGGGTGGGAGGGAGCCTGGGAGGGGGCGGGGTCTGCATTGGCTCCGCCTCTCCTTGGGAGGAGGAACTTCTGAGAAAGCCTTTTCCCCTCCTTCCCTGGTTGCCCTCTGAATAAGGGGGAGTAACCAGGAGTGACTTCCAAAGACCCTTCCTTTCTGACCCCTGGGCATCTGGGATGTGGCTCATCCTAGACCTGCTCCCATCTCCAGCCCTCTCTGGGCTTGTCCTGCTCCTCCCAGTAACTGACTTGTCAGGGTTTAGAAACCAAGGAAGACAGAGGCAGGTGCGTGCAGTTTTTGTTTGTTAGTGTTGGAATTTCATCTTAATATGAGGAAGCTACAATACCATGGAAGCAGCAAAGATTTATAAAACTCCAGTTGTTGAGAACTGCCTGTTCCTCATGCATCACACAACATCTTTTATGTTTTCTACTAAATCCACACCCCACTCAGCTCTGCATGTTGCCCAGGCCCCTAACATGTCTGGAGGATGTGTGGTGAGTAGGAGAACTGGCCAGGTTTGCAGGGTTTGGTGTCCAGGCCTGACTTGGAGAGATGGAAGATGCTGGGGCTGATGGAGAAGGAGGACAGGCTGGCTCTGTTAGAGGACAACTGGGTACCCCTCTTTCTAATTCCCAAGAGACCCAGAGGATAGAGCCCCTTCCCCACACATGTGGCGTCTCCGATCCCTCTCAGGACAGGAGGCTGCTCAGGTCTGGGTGGGACCTCACTCTGGTGAAGGTGGGGCCCACACCAGACACTCCCCTTCAGAGAGAGGCTCCCCAGGCTGTAGGTACCGCTGGGCATGGCGCCTCCTGTGCTCCCCTGGTGGCCTCTGTGCTCAGTGCACACCTGAGACTAAGGAGGGACCTTGCCCCTTCTTACTGGAGCAAGTAGGAATCATTGCAAAGCACGTCTTGTGTGTAATTCATTTCTATTCCTCATTTTCTGTGCACACTTGTCTAATGTTGCTTTCTCTTTTCATGAAACTTTTATTATATTTTAATTTCGATAGATTTACAGGATACAAGTGTTTTTAATTACATGGAAGAAATGTATAATGCTGAAGTCAGGCCTTTTAGTATACCCACCACCAGAATAGCATACACTGTACCCGATAGGTAATTATTTATCCTCTGTCCGTTAAACCACTTTATGACCACATATACCTATTGTTTAGCTCCCACTTATAAGTGAGAACATGTGGTGCTTGTTTTTCCAGTCCTAAGATACTTCACTTATGGTAGTGGTGTCCAGTTCCATCCAAGTTGCTGCCAAAGACATTATTCTATTCCTTTTCATGAATGAGAAGTATTCCATGGCTTATGTACCATAATTTATCTACTCATCGATGGAGGGGCACTTAGGATGCTTACATGACTTTGCAATTGTGAACTGTGCTATGATAAACATTTGGGGTCAGGTGTCTTTTTGATATAACAACTTCCTTTCCTTTGGGTAGATACTCAGTAATGGGATTGCTGCACAGAATGGTAGGTCTATTTTCAGTTCTTTGAAGAATCTCCATACTGTTTTCCATACAGCTTGTACTAACTTACCTTCCCACTGACAGTGTGGAAGTATTCCCTTTTTAGCAAATCTATGTCATCTATTGTTTTTTGGCCTAATAGTGACCATTCTGACAGGTGTGATATGATATCACAGGTGTGATATGCTATCACATGGTGGTTTTAATTTGCATTTTCCTGATTACTAGTGATGGTGAGTGTTTTTTTTCACAGGTGTGTTTGCCATATGTGTATCTTCTTTTGAAAAAAAGCCTTTCATGCATTGTGCCTACTTTTTTATGGGGTTATTTGGTGTTTTCTTTCTGATTTCTTTGAGTTCTTTGTAGATTCTGTATATTAGCCCTTTGTTGGATTTATACTTTGAGAATTTTGTCTCCCATTCTGTAGGTTGTCCATTTACTCTGTTGATTATTTCTTTTGCTGTGCAGAAACTTTTTTAGTTTAATTAAGCCACATTTATTTATGTTTGTTGTTGCTGTATTTGTTTGGGGACCTGAATCATAAATGTTTTGCCCAGGCCAATGTCCAGAAGAATTTTTGCTACATTTTCTTCTAAAAGTTTTATGGTCTCAGGTCTTCCATTCAAGTTTTCAATCCAGCTTGAGTTGATGTTTGTATGTGGTGAGAGATAGGGATCCAGTTTCATTCTTCTGCATGAGGCTATCCAATGTTTCCAAACCATTTAATGAATAAGGTGTCCTTTCTGCAATGTATATTTTTGTCTGAGTTGTTCAAATATCTGTTGGTTGTAGATATATGGTTTTCTTTCTACATTATCTATACTGTCCCAGTGATCTTTGTGTCTATCATAATACCACTACTATGCTGTTTTGGTTTCTATAGCCCTGTAGTATAATTTGAAGTCAGATAATGTGATGCCTCCAGATTTGTTCTTGGTCATATTAACATTGCCTTGGATATTCAGGATCTATTTTATGATTCCATGTTAATTTAGGATTCTTTTTCTCTAGTTCTGTAAAAAATGGTGCTAGCATTTGATGAGAATTGCACTGAATCTATAAATCGATATGGGTGGTATGGACATTTAACAATATTGATTCTTCCAATCAATGATCATGGAAATTTTTTTCCTTTCTTTGTGTGTGTCATCTATGATTTCTTTCATCAGTGTTTGGTAGTTCTCCTTGTAGAGATCTTTCACCTCCTTGGTTAAGTGTTTTCTAGCTATTTTTTCTTTGCAGCTATTGTACATGATATTGATTTTTTTATTTGACTCTTGGTTTGAATGTTATTAGTGTATTGTAAGGCTACTGATTTGTGTACATTAATTTTGTAATGTAAAACTTTACTGAATTTATTTATCAATTCCAGGAGTGTTTTGGAGGAGTCTTGATTTTTAGACATAATGCTGTATCATCCAGAAGAGAGATAGTTTGACATCCTCTTTTCTTATTTGGATGCCTTTAACTTTTATTTTTAATTATTATGGGTACATAATAGTTGTATCATTTTATACAATGCATGTGATGTTTTGATATAGGCATACAATGTGAATCAGTCAAATCAGGGCAATTAAGTATCCATAACCTCAGGCATTTACCATTTCTTTGTATTTGGAACATTCCAACTCCACCCTTTAGTTATTTTAAGGTAGATCCTAACATTGTTGATTATAGTCACTTTGCTATGATATCAATATTGTTCATTCTAACTATCTTACTATATTTTTCCACCCATTAAGGATACCCACTTTATCCCTCCATCCCTGCTACCATGCCCATGTACTGGTAACCATCACTCTACTCTCTGTCTCCATGAGACCAATTATTCTTAATATTTAGCTTGATGCTTTAATATTGCACCTTGTAGGATTTTCTCCTTTCCTTTAACTTTGACCACATTGACCAGTGAGATAACTATGTACCTTGGAGATGTCGTATTACTAATGAATCTTCCAAGATTTCAATGACCTTCCTGTATCTGGATGTCCAAATTTTTAGCTAGACCCAGGAAGTTTTCCTCCATTTTTCTCTCAGGTATGTTTTCCAGCATTTTCCTTTTGTTTCTTCTCCCTTAAGGATACTTATTTCTTATGTTGGTCATCTAACATGGTCCTATAATTCTCACAGACTTTGTTCATTTTTCTTGATTCATTTGTCTTCATTGTTCACTGACTAGGTTAATTCAAAAATCTTTTCTCAAGTTCTGAAATTCTTTCTTCTGCTTCATAAAGTATGTTGTTAAAACTTTCCTCTGTGTTTTCTATTTCCCTAAATGATTCTTTAATTTCCAGAAATTCTGTGATTTTTAACTATCTATCTCTTTAGTAAATTTTTCATTTCTGTCTTGAATTTTTGTAGTTGTTGCATTTTTGTGTTGGTTTTCATCTTTCTCACTGATCCCATTGACCTTATTTGTGATCTCTCTTATGAATTCCATAACCAACACTTCAAACATTGCTTTTTGGTTGGAGTCCATTGCTGGAGAGCTAGTGTGATCCACTGGGGGTGCTGAAACAGCCTGCTCTGTTATACTGCCAGAGTTCTTCTGCTGGTTCTTTCTCATAAAACCTCTTCCCTCAGCTCAAAACAGATACCTTTGTAGTTCTAGTGTTCTCTTCCAGGATCCTTGCTGCTCAGTGTAGAAAAGGAGAGTTACCCTATCCTTTAAGTATGTGGCTAGATACCCACTGTGGTGTTGCTGCCATATTGGGTGGGTTGACCTCTCACCCCTGGGACACTGTTCACATGCCACTGGTGGTGTACTAGGCTGGGTAATCCCCAGTCCCCAAGGTCCTGGGTGGTGTGCCTGAGTCCTGGGAGGAGCAGACCAAGGTTGAGCTGGCAAACTTGCTCTCAAGCCCCCCTGGATCCAAGTGCTGGTTGTGATGGTGAGGGGTGGGGTGCTCCCCTGCCCCAGAAGAACACTCAGGCAACAGAACGATGGATCCACTGTGACCCTGTGACAGGAGGGCCTTCTTGAGGGCCTTTATTAGCAGTGGCAGGCAGCTGTGGGACACACAAGCCACTAACACCTTCCTCTTTTGGCAATGACTGTGGTCTCTGTCCTTCCGGTGTACAAAAGCACCCAGACTCTAGCTCCCACACTGACCCAGCTGCAGGAGAGGTGGCAGAGGCAGCTCAACACACTGGTTGTGGGGCTGTCAGACTAGTTGTGGGCTGTGGTTGAAATGCTCCAGGAAGCAGATGTGGTTGTGCCAGAGACTTGCCTCTGGGGATGGTCAGCTCCTTGCAGAAGAGACAGGCAGCTTGTAGCTTGGGGAGAAGCCTGAGAACCACGCCCTCCCTTATAGGAGGCAGTAGCTTTTGTTTAGTGGCACGCATAAGTGCTTGTTGCTATTTTTTATCAGAAAGGAGTGAGCCCTAAGCTCCATGGAAGCCTTGGTGTGACAGGTGGTCTGTCAGAGGCAGGGAAGCTGCTCTCATGTGCTCTGGCTAAATTGTCCCCTGTGGAACACTGACCAGTCCTGAGCAGTAACAGCATTTCAGCCACGGCTTCCTTTGTGGCAGAGGTGAGGAAGGAGGGAAGGCAGGGAAGGCCCCAAATCATGGAGAGTGTCTCCACTGGGAAAAGCACAGACTCCATCACAAGTGAAGGACACACTGGTGCGGGATGTGTGTGTCATGGGTCAGGAACACCACTGCTCTCCTGTGTCTCCTATTCCTTTGTGGTTGTCACAGTGTGGGCAGGGACTGGGGATGTTTGTGTGGGATCCAGTGACAGGGAAACTGAGGGGCTGTGACTCCCCTGGCTGGATAGAGGCACCTGGTGTGTGTGCAAGCAACATGGCTCCTGCCATTTCAGCGTGGCTCGTGGTGAGGGAAGTGACTCACATGGGCCTGCTGCCCAGTGCTCTGTCCCCAGAAACTCTCAATTCAGCAGTGTCAGCAGCATCTGCATTTGTCAGGACAGAAGGGCCCCACAGTCAGGGAGCTGGCAATCTGCACAGGTGTGAAGGGAGGGAAAGTCATCACGCCCACCTGCCATTTCTGCTGGGCTCCAAATCCCTTGGGAGCTGGTCTCTGTCAAAATGTGGCTCCTCCCTCTTCAGCTCCACTACATCTTCCCATGGGAACCTCCAGTAGGGGCAGGTTCTGGCTTTTTCCCTTAGTATTTCACCTGGGCTCTCCTCTCTCACCTGAAACTTCTTCCTGTATTTGGGACAATCTGGCAACCAATGTCTCTAATCCGCCATCTCATCATTCTCCCCTGTCTGTTTCTGAAACTTTTAAAGTAATAATTCAATATATACATTTATAAATTTAATTTAAATTATATGGATTTCTGATTGAAAAATAAATAATTCTACTCCCATTTTCATTGGGACTCAATTTAATTTATACATTTGATTTGGAAAACAGTTTCTTATTAAAAAAGCCTTGCTAACCAAAGATTTAAAATCGAGTCATTAGAATGAACTAAGCTGTTTTTGCAATTTTATTATTGCAAATAATAATTTTTATTATTTTATTTTATTATTTTAATATTATACAAATTTTTTACATTCACTCACATTGAAAGTGTCGTTACACTACTTTGATAATTTTTTAAAAAGTTCTTTCATTCCTTAACATTTTTAAAGTAACAGCTAGGTATGTATGAGAAAGCTATTGGTTCAATATTCACTTCACTTCACTTTAGAAAGCTATTGGTTCAATTCACTTTATTCCATATTAGCTGACAACAGAATTCCTCCCTTCCAATTATTTTTCTATTGGTCTCTTCTGATATACTTTTAAAATTTATATAAACCACAAGAAACATAAATTTTACTTCTTTCCATCTAAATTGTATATTACTATGTAACTACATATTAAATAAATTTGAAAAGTTTTCCTTTTTACATGTTTATGTACAATTATATATTACATGCTAATATGTGTGTACATCTACACGTATTTAGATGTATTCATACATATGCTTGATATTTTTGACATAATATGCTTTAACATCATTGTTATTGACCTCCCACCTACATTAATTCTTCATAAAAGCAGAAATATTGTTTGATGATCTGTGGTAACACCACCCTTTATAAAGTATATATTTGTGTATGTGTGGGTCTATGTGCATGTATCACATTCCAGTTGTTCCCAACTATATGAAGCATTGATTAACACCAGAGATAAAGGGGATGATGAGTCCCCAGGTGACCTGGCTGAGGTGGGGTGAAGAGGAGGCAGCCCCAGGCATTCACCCCTTTGTGTTCCTGACATTCAGGAGCCCCTGAGGTCCAAGCCTGCATCCACGGTGCTGGGTCCTCAGTCACTGATAAGTGGAAATAGACATGTCCAGGGTAATTACCTTCTGTGGTCGTATCTCCCAGACAGAACAGAGAGAGCACAAAGGCTCAGTTATTTCTGTATTGTTTTTCTTGGTGGTCCTGAGCTCTTAGTATCCAGAAAAACTCTCCCAAAATGACTCAGAAGCAAAGTTTTGATCCAAAGGACAAGGAAGGCTGAAATAATTCAATGAAAAGACTAGAGTGAATCCTGCTACAGCAGAGAAAGGTTTCTTAAGAAAATGCATACAAGTCATGTAATGAGACATGAAGGAACATACAAGGCAGATCCCCAGGGAGAGGTGAGCTCAGGTCTCTTCATCCTCTGTCCCTTCCCCAATATTTTCATTCTCAGGATCAGCTGAGACCATCAGCCCCTCACAAAACAAGTCATATCCCACAAGCAGAGAGTGAGGACACCCTCTCAGTCATGGGCTGGGCACAGAGGGTCAGGCCTGTCCAGGGCAGGACGGTGTCCCTGGGGAACCTCCAGGGATCCTGGGTGACTTTGGTCTGCTCTGACCTCTCTGATCTCTTTGTCCACAATCCCCAGCCCCGCACCCCCAGGATTACACAGTGGAGAATCTCGTCCGCATGGGCCTGGCTGGCTTGATCCTGGTGGCCCTCGGGATTCTGCTGTTTGAGGATTGGCACAGCCGGAGAAGACACCAGGATGCAGCCGGGAGGTAAACTCCAGAGACAACAGCACACTGCCCAGAGTGGTCGATCCCTGGAAGTAAATCTGATGATTCCAGGAGGTTATGGAAGATAACCTAGAGCATGTGCTGTCTGGACTGTCGGCTGGTCGTTTCCAGAGGGGGGAATCAGTGTCCGAGTGCAGGGACACCGTGCGGGGTGGGGAACCTGCAGTCTTAAGGAAACTTGTGCCCTTCCTTGTCCTTAAGTGCAGCCTTTGGACTGAATTCAAATTTTACAGAACAAATACTTTCATTAAAAGGGATGTGATAGAGAAAGATGAAGCGTTTCTTGCCTCCTTTGGTGGTTAAAAAAGAACTATCTTGAAACCAGAAGGCCGCAGGTTCCCCACCCATGGCTGGGGCAATCTGTGGAGGACCACTGAACTGCGATACACGTCCTCTATTCCAGCACTGGCTTTCCTTACTGAACACCCTCCTTTCCAACCTTCAGACATGAAGATGCATTTCACATGGCAGCTTTGGGCCCACAGCTCTGTACACCTTCATGCTCTGGTCCACTGTCCTGTACACACAGTTTCTTTATGTCTGGTTTCCACGTTCCCTGATGCACTCTATGCAACCTCCATCTCTTCAGTCAGAGTTCCACACCTGATCCCATAACTGAATAAATCAGAGAAGGTGAAAATCTAACCGGAAAAATGTCATAGAAATGATGCTCAGCCACAAAACTGGGAGGGGGTGGATTTTCTTGTCACAGTCCCAGGAAGTAAAATGTGCCTCATTTAGTCTCCAATTTTGCCTCCATAAAAATCACCTTGCTAAATGGAATTTTAAAAAGTCTTTATTTCCCATGAATGATTGCAGTTCTAAAAGGGCACTCGGGGCACATCACCACAGCTGGTCTGGGGTTCACAGAGTTTCTGGTCTTCATTATTCACTGTAATTTTGTTGTTTTCACCCCTGCTCAGTTGATTTAGTTCTGCATAACTTAAATTGACTTGTATAAATCCTCTATGATTTCATGGGCTACTTTCTTCTTTATTTGGATTTATTGATCAATATCTACCATAAAAATTTGCTAATTTTTTTTTACCTAACCTTTATTTATTTCCAAGATTCCACAAAAATGCCAGCTGTCAGAGGTTGCTGTCAACCAAAATATGGGTATGACATTTCAGAAAGAACTGCTTTCTAATATCAAGTTGAAGTTCAGATCCTCTTTAATAATATTCTTCCTAACAAAAATTTTTCTCTTTAGAGACTTTCTTTTAAGAGAGAGAAATCATATGTCTGCCTACTCTAATTTCTGTAAGAAATTCTGTTTCATAAGTATGCACAGATAAAACAGTCCTTACTCAGATACTAAGCTTTAAGGTAGTGGTTTGTTTTCAAACAGAAACTTGAATATTTGGGGAATCACCTAGTTGAAATTCATAGTTCCAGGGCCACATATCAAGAGATTGTGATTCACTGCATGAGGCCCAGGACTCAGTTTGCTATTCATAACTGCCTAGTTAACAAACAAGCCTAGTGATTCTGGTGCCAAGTGGTCTGGCAGGAGCCCTGCCATAAAGGGGGTGTTTGGTCACCCATCCTTCTCCTTCTGAGCACAAGGATGTAGAGTGCAATTGCCAAACGAAGTCCTCCTGTGACTTCTCCTTTCTTTTCACACTCCAAACACGGAAGAAACCCAAGGCCTTTATTTTAACCCTTTTATGTACCTTAGGTCAGAAGTACTTTTTCCTAAAGATAAACATGAGAATATTATGAAAAACTTTGTCTTTCCTATCAAGCATTACAATTTGTATTAAACTTTTTAGAGAAGGTAATGTCTCTTCTTTTGTGGACAGTGGCAGCAAACACACCAGGGGGCCACAGTGATTCTAAGTGTGCCCATGTTAAGAAAGCCCACCAGTAGATTCACGGGACCACTGGGTGGTGGTCCCTACAAATGTGCACAGTAGTCTGTTTCAAGATGGATCACGTCCATTGTTGGGATGGTCCTACCAGGCAGAGTAAAGCCTACAAGGAGATGAGGCAGTGTGCAAGGCCATCCAAGGAACATATTAAGGGAAAGTGGATCATCATAAAGACCCTTACCCTCATTTTCTTCTTGTTGAGTAGGCTCAGGAAAAGGAGGAAGAGGAGGCATCAGTCTTGTTGTCTCAGGGGTGGCAGAGGCAGAAGAAAATCTACTGTTGCTCTGAAGGCCACTTTCTGGTGAATTATCCAAATCAGCATTCCAAGATGCACCAGGCTGTATTATTGTGCTATATATATGTCACCATCTGGAAAACTGGAGAATTTTGGAAGCTGACAGTGTGAGATCAAGGTGTTGGCAGGATTAGTTTCTTCTGAGGCCTCTTTCCTTGACTTGTAGATGGTTGCCTTCTCGCTGTGTCTCGCATGGTCTTCCCTCTGTGCCGCTAGTTTTTGTATTGTTGTCATAAAACGTTTTCTCTGCAAGAAAACTTTAAATAGGTTTGTGTGCATATACTATATGATATCCATGTTCCTCTCTCACTCTTTCACTTTTCTGCCCATGCTCAATAACACTGGGGACAGACATTATTAATTTCTAAATATCCTTCCAGAAATGGTTTGGATTTTCTAAAGTATCTATTTCTCATAACAAATCTGTATTTTACTGAGGTTCTAATATATTTTCCAAATTTTAATACCAGTTAAATCATATTGTAATTTAATAACTTGTTAATTATTAAAGAATTAAAATATTCATATTAAAACAAGAGTAAATATAGTTCGTGGGATGGGTCCTCCAATAAACTCTTTAGAAAAAATCCAAATTTTATTTATTCAGTTATATTTAATTTTGTTTGTATAAATGTAAAGGGTACAAGTGTAATTTTGTTATATGGATATGTTGCATAGTATGGAAGTCAGGGCTCTTAGTGTATCAATCACCCCAATAACGTACATTGTGCCCTTTAAGTAAATACTCATTATCCACCCTCCTCTCACCTCCCACACCCTGAGTCTTTGTCTGTCATTCCAACTCTACATTAATGTGTACACATTATTTAACTTCCACTTCTAAGTGAGAACATGTGATGTTTTTCTTTCCGTGTCTGATTTATTTCTCTTAAGATAATACCCTCCACTTCCATCCATGTTGCTGCAAAAAATATCATTTGGTTCTTTTTAATGGATGAATAGCATTCCATTGTCTATGCATTCCCATTTTCTTAATCCAATCACCCATTGGTGGACAAAAATTCATGTTATTTTTAAATATGAGTTCTTTCGTGGAACTAATCCTGTGCAGACAGTTCCAAATATCAATGAAGTGTTTAGGAAGGATGTGGCTAATGAAAACATACTACATTGAGGGTTTCAGAAGTTCCATCCTGGTGATTTTAATCCTGAAAAAGAGCCATGTGGCAACCTGAGACCAGGAGGATAATGATGAGGTGAAAGTTGTGGTGGAAGGGAATCCACCTCAACCTACATGTGAATTAACAACAAGGTGTGACATTACTATTCCAAAAATATCGGACCATTTGAAACAAATTTTAAAGGTAAAGAAGCTGGAAAGATAGGTTCTGAATGAATTAAATGAATGGCAGAAGAGAAATCATCTCGAGCTTGCCTTTCTTTGATCTCACAACACAAAAGTGAATGATTTCTGCACTGTATTGTTACATGTGTTGAATATGGATTCTTTTTGACAATCTCAAGTATTCAGCACAGTGGTTGGATAAAGATGAAGTGCTGAAACACAGTCCAAAACTGAATATTCATAAGTTTGGTGGTCCAGTGCTGGTGTTATCCAATACAGTTTATAAAACCTGGTCAATTGATTACAGCAGATGACTACTGCAACCAGTTTGATGAAATGATGAGGAGGCTTTTGATAAAGCAGCCAAGATTTGTCAATAGAGACAAGTCAATTCTTTTGCAAGACAATGTTTGACCATATGTTACACAAACAATGCTGTTCAAACTACAGATGCTGGATTGTAAACTCCCTGTCATCCACTGTATTCAGAAGATCTTGCACCAGCTGACTAATACTTCATCCAGGCTTTGGACCACTTCTTACAAATAAAAATATTGAATTCTTGAGATAGAAACACTCCTACACTGCTGGTGAGACTGCAAACTGGTTCAGCCTCTGCAAAAAATAATATGGAGATACCTTAAAGCAATACCAGTAGATCTACCATTTGATCCAGCAATTCCACTACTGGGCATCTACCCAAAAGATCAAATGACACTCTACAAATGGGACACCTGCACTCAAATGTTTATAACAGCACAGTTCACAATCTCAAAGGTGTGAAAACAACCCAGGTTCCCATCAATACATGAGTGGATTAATAAAATGTGGTATATGTACACCATGGAGTACTATTCAGCTTTAGGAAACAATGGTGATATAGCACCTCTTGTATATTCCTGGATAGAGCTGGAACCCATTCTACTAAGTGAAGTATCTCAAGAATGGAAAACCAGTACCACATGTACTCACCAGCAAACTGGTATTAACGGATCAACACCTAAAGTGAACATATAGGAATAACATTTATCGGGTGTCAGGTGGGTGGGAGGGGGGATGGGAGACATGGGCAATATACGTAACCTTAACATTTGTACCCTCGTAATATGCTGAAATTTAAAAAAATATTCAATTCTCAACAAGCTGTGGAAAATGCCTTTCATGATTTCATCACCACTTGCTCTCCAGGCTTCACTCCTGGCATGGACAAGCTACCATTAAGATGAGAAAATTGTGTGAATAGTTTAGGAACATACTTTAATTAATTATACTGCTTCTTGTTTGAGATATAATAAACTAGATTATTGATGTGTAATTGTACACTTCATACTCATTAACATAGGTTTATTGCCCATTTGTCTTTCTTCTTTTAAGAAGCTTCTGTTCATGTCTTTTGCCTTTTTAATAGGGTTGCTTGATTATTCTTGTTGATTTACTTGAGTTCTTTGTAAATTCTGGTTATGAGTGCTTTATCAGATGTGTAGCTTGTGAATATATTCTCCCATTCTCTAGGTTGTCTG